AAAAAAGAAAAAGAAAGGAGGAAAAAAAGAAAGAAAGAAAGAAAGAAAGAAACTGCTGGGAAAGGTCATCCCCCAAATTTAGAGAGGAAATTAATTATTATTATTATTATTATTATTATTATTATTTAATACCCCACCTATTGGAAAACCAATCCAGGCAGCTTACAAATTAAAATCAAATACAAACCCCAGACAATCCCCTTAAAACAGTATTAAATCACAATAGCTTAAAAACAATATAACAATTAAAACTAAACTTAAAATGACGCAATAGACACTCCACTATGGCCTATAGCAGTGTTCCTGTCCATCCACATGTAAGGAACAGTGCTAATAATAATAATAATAATAATAATAATAATAATAATAGTTCCTCTCTATGGGTCAAGCCAAGAAACCACAGGCAAGGCTTGAGCAGGGCTGTGGATGATCTTGGAAGTCTCTCCTTCATAGGATCCTTCATAGGATCACCAAAAGTCAAAGCCAACCTGATGTCCAGTAACAACAACAAACTATAGTCTGGGTTGCCAACAGTACCCAAGAGAGATCTTTTTTTCCTTGCAGAATGAAGCACACTTTTATCTCTGCCCCAAGCATCATACAAAGGCTAGTTTCTCATAGGTGTCCTCCTCATCTTTCCATGCCTTTGGCTCTCTCTTCTTCAATGGCTTCCCCTGCAAACCTTGGCTGCTGTGGCATCCCAGTTAGGCAAGCCCTGATTCAAAACAGGGCTTTGGATTATAGTCAAGCCAAAAAACATGGCTTTTTATTAATGCCTCAGGGGGGACTTTATCCATATTTGCACAAGTTCTAGGGTTGTCGTTATTTTAAATTGCTGGAGCCGGGTTCGAGTCATCTGGGTTGAAGGGGTTTCATGCATTTTTAGTCTTCGAAAAGTGTTGCTGCTGCCATTGGTTTATTGTCCTACCTACATTAATATTATCATGCGCTGTTTTGAACTCTTTGGACATAGGATGGAGCATCAATGTTTTTAAATAAGTAAATAAACAGCCAAGGCTGAGGAATGATTAGAGAGACCCAGTTTGAAAACCTCCAGAGGTCAGCGCAATTCCTCCTCTCTTTGCAAAGGTTTGAAACTGGAAGGGGGTGTGATTCCTGCCTTTGATTTATTATTTCTGAAAGACATCGGTCTGCACCCTGCAAGGCTTCTGCCCCAAAAAGTTTGCATTGGAAAAATTGAAGAGACAGGGAGAATAAGCAGTTCCATCACTTGGCTGATATCTCTACTTGGGCTTCTTTTACATTAAGGGTGGGAGTTATACAGCCCTCTGAATGGTTGCAGTTCCCAGCTAAAATGGCCAGCGGAGTCAGGAATGCTAGGAATTGCAATCCAAACAACATCTGGATTGCTCTGATTTCAATTGCAGTAGGCCAAAGGATCTGTAGTCTGAACCCTATTGACAACCCTATAGTTTGTTCTATAGTCATAGAATCATAGAGTTGGAAGAGACCACAAGGGCCATCCAGTCCAACCCCCTGCCATGCAGGAACTCCCAATCAAAGCATCCCCGACAGATGACCAAACTATAGTCCTATAGTTTATTGTTATTATTGGTCATCAAGTTGCCTTTGACTTTTGGTGATCCTATGGACGGGAGACCTCCAAGAGCCTAATCCACAGCCCTGCTCAGGTCTTGCAAACTCAAGGCAGCTGTGGTTTCTTTGTTTGACCCATGGAATCAATGGGATTTAGGTAACTCACTCAGTGTGCTGTAGTGGTTTGAACATTGGACTTCGATTTTGGAGACCAGGCTTTGATTCTCCACTCGGTCATGGAAGCCCACTGGGTGACCTTGGGAGAGTCACACACTCTCAGCCTGTGATAGGTTCACTTTAGGATTACCAGAAGTCAGAAATGACATGAAAACACACAACAAATGGAACACGTGGGCCTGCTCCAATTGAGATTAACCAAAAGGTTTCGGAACTGTGTGTCCCCCTCTTTCCTCATTGTCTGTTCCCCACAATTCTGACTGGGAGATATTAAATACCATCAGTCGCAGGGATATTTGGGGTACTTTGTGTCCCATCCATGTCCCTGCATATCCCCAAAGTGGCGCTATATCCCTCTCACCTACCCACTGCAATGTTGCGTCCTATTAATCCACCCTTTCACCTTTCCATTCATAGACATACGCAGTACATATGTGAGATTTCTTCTGCTAAAATCCAACCTTCTGTTTCATGACTCTGAAAATCACTATATACTTTCTGTATGAAGGTTTATAGAGCTTAAAAACAAAAACAAAAAAGAGGGTTGTGATATTTCACCCACAGCAGAATCAGATACTCCTCCTCTGCTCCTCCTTCAAAGATCGGTCTTTGAACTGATCTGTCTTAAGTTTCAGTCTGAAGTTTCAAGTTTTGTTCCTAGGGCTACATGGTTTAGATGCCTCGTTGGCTCAATAAAAACGTTTTAAAACCTTTAGATCACGAGTGGGAATCTTGCAGCCTGCCAGAAGTTGTTGAACCGCCAACACCCAGCAGCCAGACCAAATGAGCCAATGGTGAAGAACGCTGGGAACTGCAATCCAACTCCTCTCTGCTTTAGAGTAATTAAAAAGGTGCCCCACTTAATCAGAGTTATATATGTATGTGTCTAATTCAGAGACATAGCCAAGTTAGTCTGGAATATCAGTATGCAAAAGGATCTTGTAGCACCGCTGAGACTAATTATGCAAAAGAAGTTATAGCATAATCTTTTCTAGACCAGATCCAAAACACACGGCAGAAATAATCCAGTTTGAGACAGCTTTAACTGCCCTGGTTCAATGCTAGGGAATTCTGGGAACTGTAGTTTTGTGAGACATTTAGCCTTCTCTATCAGAGAGTTCTAGTGCCCCAACAAATTACAATGGGAGCCACCAACCACCAAGGCAGAAAACGCCAGAAGTCTAATGTTTCATCCAAACTAATTCTTGGGTACACTCATGTGTTGAATGGGCTTTGGGATGAAAATTCAGCACCTTGGATAGTTCCTTTGAGGTTCGGACTAAAATGTGGAGTGGATTCAGCTGCTCACTAACCCGGAAGCCACCTCCAAAACTTCTGTAATAAGAAGCTGCCTCATTCCAAGTGAGACAATGAGTCCATCGAGCTCAGGCGTCTCTCCATGGACCGGTGGCGATCTTCAGGGTTTCAGAAAATGGACTTTTCCAAACTGTCTTGGAAGTACCAGGAACAGAACTCAGGACTGCCTGTATGCAAGGCGGCTGCTCTCCCGCTGAGTTTTCGACAAGAAGCAATACAGCTTGGAAGAAGTTACTTCTTTGGATGACAGTTCCCAGAATCCTTCAGCACCTTCTAGGGTGCCAAGTTGGCAGGAGGTCCCTAGAAGGCGTTGTGCCAAAAAAAGGAAAGAAAAGAAAAGTAACTTCTTCCAAGTTCTGGGAAGACACCTCCACATAAGCAAACTTCTGCCCATCCTTGTTCTGTAGGAATCGTTCCAAAAACCTCCCTGTGGCACATTTTTGGCTGAAAAACCCAGGAGAAAGAGAGAGAGAGAGAAGAAAACAGAAAGGGGT